TTGTTAAGAAAAAGAGTTATCATTAAAGGAAAAATTATTAAAATTAGTTCAAGAAAAGGATGAAATTACATATAATGTAATCATTGCGCTAAATATTTTTAAAAATGATGAAAAAAGTACTTGCAAATTTGCAAATAATTTGGGCATGTTATTGTAACATAAAAAAAATTAATTTTATTACCAAAAGATTATTAATACCAAACACATTAAAATATGTATAAACTTGAGACTAGGCCTGGGCATGAAAACCGTACCCGCGGAACCGACCCGGTACCGACCCGAAAAAACCGGTTCGGTCCGGTATTGGATATGAGATAAAAACCGAATGGAGCAATTTATTTAGTACTCATGGGTAACGGATCGGTTCGGATTTAACCGGTATCCAATTGAGTATCCGACATTTACCTCGTGAATAACACTATTCATCTTCATTACAGAACACGGGTGTTGCAGCCCCCGGAGAATGAAGTGTCCCTACTCTTTAATCCACTCTCTCTAGCCGTTTCTTCTTCAATCGAAGAGTCTCTACTACGCATGCTTGTCTCTTGGGTTAATCTTGCTTCCCTATAAATATGGAATGTGAAGATTGTGTGAGTTCATACTCTCATCAATCGAAAACCTTCTCAAAGGTAAAGTAAACCCTAATCGATTACAATAGCTTAATCGTTTGTTCTAAAGTAGTTTTCGTTTGTTCTAAAGTAGTTTAATAGTTTTCTAAACTTCAATCGATTGATCTTATTTGTTTATAGATGTTTATAGATCTTAATAGTTTTAGAAACTTCAATCGATTGATCTTATTTTCATGTGATTCTTATTAATAAGTTTAATTGATTGCTAAACTAAATCAATTTTATTTTCCTCGCAGATGGATTCTTCAGCATCGGTTAATCCAAAGAACAATGGGAAAGACAAAGTCTCTGATCATGACGAAACACACGAGGAGTTTGTAACTCCTGACTCAAGAGGAAAGAGGAAGACTGTTGCAAGTTCAAGTGGAGCTGTTTCTGAGCCAACAAAGGAAGCCAAGATCTTGAGCCCAAGGTCTTATGTCTGGGAGCATTACACTCGTACGAAAGAAAACCGAGACAGATGCTTCTGTCACCACTGCAAGAAGAGTTTTGCTTGTGCTTCAAAGTCTGGAACTTCAAACCTTGGAAAGCATCTGACAACCTGCAAACGGTACCTGGCATGGGAAGCTGCACGAAAGAAGAATCAGACAGAGCTCACCGACGATGGAACAGTGAGGGATACAAAAGTGTCTGAAGCTCAAGTCAGAGAGGCAACAAATGAGATGCTCGTGATCGGGGAGATGGCACTTTCATTTGTTGAAAGTGCTGCTTGGAAGCACTTCTGCAGCAAAGTAATCGGTTTCAAGCCACACTCTAGGAGGACAGCAACAAGGGACATTGTTCAGCTTTATGTCAAAAGGAAAGCAGCTTTGAAAGCTTGGTTCAAGACTAATAAGCAACGAGTCTCTCTTACCACTGACATATGGGTTGCTCCAACAACAGGTAACGAAACTGTTTTTTTTTATTCAATATTGTTTGCTTCTTATATATACTTTACTAACTCGTATTTTGAACTGTAGGTGCGAGTTATATGGTGATCACCCTTCACTTTGTGGATGCTTCTTGGCAGCTAAAGAAGTTGATCATCGGTTTCAAGTACATTACCGATCACAAAGGGCAGACGATTTCAACTGTGCTTCTAGATTGTTTGGCTGAGTGGGGAATAGAGAAGATATTCTGCATCACCGTTGATAACGCGACTGCAAATACTTCTGCGCTTAGGAAGTTTCAGGCAAGCTTCTCTCTACTTTCTGATGAAGCATTTGTTATGAATGGGGAGTTTATGCATATGAGATGCGCAGCTCATATAATAAACCTGATCGTTAGAGATGGTTTGGCTGAAGTGGATAACAATGTATCTGCAATTCGTAATGCTGTTGGGTATGTTAGGTCTAGTACGACTAGATTAAGGTCATTTGAGCTTAGGGTTGATTCAGGGAAGATGACTAGGGGTAGTTTGCCACTGGATGTTAAAACTAGGTGGAATTCTACTTACTTGATGCTGTCGAGAGCACTTGAGTTCAGGTTAGCCTTCGACAAGATGGAGGCAGAGGACAGGCTTTACAACGACTATTTTATGGAGTTTGACGGTGGAGCACAACGGGTTGGACCTCCTGCTATGGTTGACTGGCATGCGGTTGAGAGGTTAGTGAGGTTCTTGATTATATTCTACAACTCCACACTGGTGGTTTCTGCGAGCACTTCTCTGAACTCCTACAATTGCTACGGCGAGATTGTTACAATCCAGAAGAATCTGATGGGGTTGAGTAATTCCTTTGACTCGGAATTGAAGTCGAAGGCTGATGATATGCTTCTGAAGTTTGATAAGTACTGGTCGGGTATGAAGAACATCAATAAGATGTTGATTGTGGCTACGGTTTTTGATCCTAGGAAGAAAATGCAGTTTGCAAAAATGTGTTTTGAGAAACTCTACGGGAAAGAGAGTCTAGATGCTAAGGAGATGTATCAGTCACTGGTTGATGTTTTGCGCTACATGTTCAAGGAGTACAGTGCTCGGTTTGACAGAGGTGAAGCAGTTCAAGCATCTCAAACCACTCCAGCTGCATCATTTGGTAGCCAAGAAGCCTCTTTCCAAAGAATCAACTTGATCAACGACGAGATGGGGTATGAAAGGATGGATTTGGAGTATGAAGAGTTGGTTGGTGAAATAGAAGATCGTGAGTCTAAGGATGAGTTGGATACTTATCTAAAGGAGAGTGTTGTCAATCCGAGAACCATGGTTGGAGTTGAGTATGATGTTCTGTCTTGGTGGAAGTTCAATGCCATAAAGTTTCATGTTCTTGCAGAAATTGCAAAAGATGTACTTGCAATGCAAGTCTCGTCAGTTGCTTCTGAGAGTGCTTTTAGCACTTCTGGCCGTATCATTGATTCATACCGGAGCTGTCTTACTCATTACATGGTTGAAGTGTTGATGTGCTCAGAGCAATGGCTAAAGGCAGACATTCGATGTGGTGATGGAAGGCTGGTGACAATGGAAGAAATTCTAAGTGACTTTGAATATGAAGACAGGCTTGAGAGAGGTATCTTTTCTTCTTTAAACACATGTGAATTTTTTTTATCTGCTTATCTGCTTACTAATTATTTTTTTCTATGTCAGAGTTTGATACTCTGAACTTGCAAGAAGATTAAGCTAGTGTGTGCTATGCTCCCTGTGTTTGCCTCTTTGGTTTCTAGGTAAATTTAAATTCCCACTTTCTGTTATGAACTTTGAAATTGATCATTGCTTATACAAGTTTGTATACTTTGTTCTAGGATACTCGGAGTGTGATGAAGGTTTTTCTGCAGCAGTTGGTTGGATGATGAAGTTTGGATGGTGACTGAAGGCTTATGTTTTCTTTTCTATTTGCGGCTGAGACATTAGTTCTCTTTGTTTCTGTGTTTCTTTTGTGTCATTGTTGAACACACTATCTCGGTTTTATTAATGTTGTTGTTTCTCATTTTCTCTGAATGTTGCTGTTTTCATTTTAACTTATGGAACTGGTTTATGAATGGAAATATGCTTTGTTTTTCAGCTTATAATCTCATCTTTATATTAACTTCCTTATTATGTTCTTCCTATTAAACTCATATTCTTTACCAGTTAAAGTTAATTAGTTCAACTAACTTAGTTGTATAGTCTAATAACTTCGGTTATTTGGATACAAAAGAGGTAGATTTGGTTACTTTTGATCTTTTTATCCGGATCCGATCTGTTTAATACGGGTAACCGATAATTTCCGGGTTTTTTTTTAAGTATCCATATCCACCCGGAACCGGCCAGATCCGACTCGAACCCGACCCGAGTTTTAATAATATCCGAACGGGACATTTTTTCAGGATCCAAAAAACCCGATACCCGAATTATCCGACCCGGACCCGAAAGGGTATCCGAATGCCCAGGGCTACTTGAGACTGTTATCGAAGATAACTCATATTCAGTTTTATTAACCACATTCAACAAAGACATGATCCGTATTTTGGGTAAATCAACAACATGCTTAATTCAATTTCAAGTATGTATAATACTTATAATAATTATTAAACTATGGTGTATAATCAGAAATTAATATTTAAAATTACTATATGTAGAGACTGTCATATATATAACGATTCAAGTGATAATGCAATTATATCATGCTTTTCAGAAAAGGTTATCAGAAAAGTTTTTAAATTTAATATCAAGGTCACATTCTACAACTGTCAGTCAATTTCAGTTGGATTAACGATTACAAGTATCACAGACAATCAAAGTATTAATGAAGATGTATAATATATTTGGAATATAATTATTTTTTGTAAATATAAATCAGAAAATTATAAAGAAAATTAAGAAACTTACATTTCATTTTTACAGCCTATTATAATAAATGAAATTGTTGACAATGCGGACAAGATATAAGAAACCAATGCTTCTAAAAAAACAAGAATAAGAATAATATCAAATAAACCGAAAGATTTAAAACAAAGTGAAACTGACACTCTAAACAAAAGGGCAAAGCAATTGAAGAAGTCAAACGACCACAAAAAAAAAAAAAATTAAAGACGATTATGTTACTTAATTTTGCTATGCTAAATACATAATATTTAAATTTACACAATTTTAAATACAAATTATACTTTCACTCTTTTGTTATATAACTTTATTTAAAAAAAAATTATTTACATACAAAATAATTAATTTTTTAAATGATTAATCAACAAATATAAATTATATAAAGATAACTTTAAAATAAAAAAATTAAACTATCATTTTTTCTGCGCGTTTACGCTCAAAGTGATTTTAGTTAAAATAATTTCAGAAGAATATGGATCGGTTTAGAACTCATAACCGAATATGAATATCAAACCGGAATCTCGATTTGGTTCGAGTCAAAACTCTACTGTCACTTTCGTGTCTATTCTCTTTCAGAATAGGGAGCTTGAATGAAGGTAATGCCTCTAATGCGAAACCCTAGATTCTTCTTCTCTCTTCTCAAATGGGTATCTCTCGAAACTCAGATTAAATCCTTAAACCCTCAGATTTCCGGAATTAGGTCTCATCTTCGTCACACCTTAAACCCGAGGTATCTCGCCACCGGCGAGAAACTGAGCGTTAAAACCCGAATCGAGAATCAAAGAAAGGCTCAGGCTGCGATGTTGGATTACTTCTACATCACGAGAGGGTTACAGTATCTAGTCGCAGAGAGCATGAGTAAGAACGCTCCTCTTTTCAACGACAATCTCTTACAGAAGCTGGATTGTGATACTCCCGATGATGATTCTGACATTGCTCTATCGATCACTAGGTTTCTACGGTTCCATCCCATAAACGAATTCGAGCCTTTCTTCGAGAGTTTAGGCCTTAAGCCATCAGAGTACAGTTGTCTCCTTCCTAGTGATAAGATGTTTTTGAACGAAGATTCCTTTTTGCTTGAGAATTATAATACTTTTTGGATATATGGGATTGGGTTGAAGCAGATGGGGAAGATCTTTAAGGAAGCTAGGGAGGTTTTTGGGTATGAGAGTGGGGTTTTAGCTTCAAAGATTAAGGCTTTTGAGGATTTGGGATTGAGTAAGTCGTTTGTATCGAAGATTATTGTTTGTAGCCCGAGGATATTGATTGGGGATATGAATGTTGAAGTGGCTAAGGCTTTAGAGATTCTGAGATGTGTAGGAGTTGGGGTTGATTGGGTTGATGAGAACTTGTCAGAGGAGGAGGAGGATGTGTCTTATGATTGGAGGTCTATGCACAGAGTTTTAAGCTTGCTTAGAGATCTCTTTTTGGATGATAGTGAGCTACGTGAGTTGATCAAGAAGCATCCAAGACTTGTTTTTGAGGATTCAGGGGAATGGACTTTGTTTCTAGCTGGGTTTCTAACCAAGTTTGGTTCATCTAAGAGGGAACTCTCTTCGTTTTTTCTAAAGTTTCCGGGAATTGAGGTAAAGAAATGTGTTTTGAATCTGAGAAATTGTTTAGTGTTCCTGAAGCAGATCAAGATGGAGTGTGATGAGATGGGTAAAATTTTTCGTGCTCACTCCTTTTGGCTTGGTGCATGTTCTTTGAAGAAACCGAGAACCTTACTTGATAGACTGAACGTTGGGACTAGGAGGCTTTGTCAGGTCATCGAAGAAAACCCAGAGGTGATGAAAAAATGGAGGATGGGTTTAAAGGTGCAGCCACTACCTCCTACAGGGGAAGAGGAAACGTCGAGGTTAATGAAGACACAGTTCTTGATCAACCTCGGATATGAGGAGAACTCAGAGGAGATGGAGAGAGCTGTCAAGAAATTCCGTGGGAGAGGATCAGAACTCCAACAGAGATTCGATTTCCTTGTCAGCTTGGGTCTGAATGAGAAGGATGTTCGAAATATGGTGAACGCTTTCCCTCAGATCCTGTGTCAAGCGTCTGATCTTCTGGAAGCAAAGGTTAACTACATTGTCAACGAACTTGGCTATCCGTTTTCGATCTTTGTGACTTTCCCTTCGTGTCTAGTGTTTACTCTCCAGCGGATGAAGCTCAGATTAGGGATGATTCCGTTTATGGAAGGCAAAGTAAAGGCAATGAGCAGTTTACTTGGGTGCTCGGACCAACATTTTGTGTCTCACTATGTAAATCGCCACCCTGATGGGCCTAAACATTGGGAGGATTTGAAGAAACAGATTCTCTACGAGTAGAACAACTAGTTTCCTTTATTTCTTTGGTGTTCAAGATTAACAAGATCAACCAAGGCATCTAGATATAGGATTCACCACAACAATACACTGAGCAACAAGTACGACGGCAATCCCCAAATCACTGTTCATATCAGATGTAATATTCATAGCTTCCACTTGGGGGACCTTGAGATTGTTGTGGTCGAAATATTATGTGACTAAATTAGAGTATCATCACTTCGAGTATCAGAGCTGGAGCAGCTAAGGTACTACAAGTCATGCTCGTCCGTGGCTAGGCTTTACTCCAATCTTTCTGCATCCTCGGTTTTTTTCTGGAACCGTGAGGAGGTAAACCAGTACATTCCTAGACCGTAAATATAGTCTCTTAGAGCACCATTTGGAAATGTTACTTGCTCGTTATATGAACCGATTTTTTTCTTTGGTACCTACTCGTTCTATATTTGTTTTTTAGAAGTCTCTCAAGAATATTAGTACATAACATTGCTATTCTTTCTGGACTAGACTAAATATGCTAGTCTACCCTTTTTTCTTTCCTCTTAACTAGAAAAGGGATGTTAGTCTAGTGATGCTTTTCTGCAGGAAAATTCATTTCATCTGTTGAGTATCATGTTTAATAAGTGTATGTGATTGATTGTTCTGTGTTTAATCAAGGAGTCCTCAGTTTTTAGTTTATCTAAGAGAATATTTTACTTACGGTCAAAATGATGTCTGATGTCAGGTTCTCTTTTCGTTTAGGGAATCCATTTTTTTTTTGCGGAGATCACCGGTTTACATGAAGGAAGATGGAGGTAATAGGCTATCAAGTTTACCTGTGCCAAGGGCTTAAAATGACAAAAACAAAAGCTAAAAAGATTCCGTCTCTGGAGCTGGAGGAATGATGTTCTTGATTTTTTGGGCTATTCAGTTTTGGAGAATAAAATATGTACTTAAAACCATGTTTTGGTTTGGTTCTGTCTGTCAAATTATAATTGTATCAAAATGGCTTTCTTTGCCTCCGTTTTGATCATGGTTAATAGTTTTGGTAGACTCCGGTTTAGGTGATTATGAGTAATACGCGATGAACCTTATAGTTTATAAGTTACTAACTAGGACCCATTGACCCAACACTTAACCTATTCGGTATTCATAGATGGTTCTAAAGTTCAACGTATAGTCTGTTTTATTTAGTGACTACTTGGAACCCGCTATAAACTTTTCACACTCATCTTGAAACACAAGTTACCCATAAACACATCTTAGAGCACCCCCATTAGGGGATTTAAAGGGGGGTTCACACGTTTACCGAGGGAAACAGTGACGAACTCCGCGCGCGTGGGTTCGTCGTGGTGAACCCGGTTCGTCACGAGTTCGCCACGTGGCGGACCGTGATTCGCCAATTTTTTTTTTTTTTTTTTTTTTTTTTGAAAAAGTAAACGAAAAAAAAAAATAAAAAAAAATACAGCTGGCAATCCCCACCTCAGTATCACTGGTGGGGATGCTCTTAGTTTTGATGAGTTTGGGACAGCTATTACAAAACTCCACTTCATTACATGACAACATTTTTGTCTACATCCATTAAAAAGACGTAAGCAAACGTTTCTTCAGAAATTCTCCAAAACTTACGACATGTGTTATGCCATGCGGCAGATTATACGAAACACACGGAAAGAAACAGCTATTAAGTCTTAACTCTCAGTCATACAATCTTCATCTCATCTTAAAACCCAAAGACCAAACTCATCTTCTCAAGCTAGGACACCATGTTGTCTCTTCAAGCTTCTTTCTCTATCACCTTCTATTTATCCCTTCTCAGCTTTGTCAATCTAAACTCAGCTTCTGATTCAAACGCTGGTCTCTGCACTCCTTATCCATGTAACCAACCGCCTCAACCGCCTTTCTCTACAGGCTACTCTCCATACGGTAACCCTCCTCCCCCGCCTTCACCGTCTTCACCACCTCCATCACCACGTTCTCGCTGCCCTCCTGTTGCTCCCACAGGCTGTTGCAACCAACCACCACCACAGTCTACCTATTATTCTCCTCCGTATCCTTATTTTTACACTCCTCCTTATCCTTACGGTACTCTCGGCGGAGGAGATCAAAGCGGTGGCGGCCAAGGAGGAGCTGGAGGTGGCGGAACTGGAGCAGCGGTGGCTTACTATGCTTCTTCTTCCTTGCCGGTTTATGCTTCGATGCTTGTGTTTTATTGTGCTTTTGTTGTCTTCTAAGGGCATGCATAGGGTTTAGATAAATATTAGTTCTATCAAAATCCACCCTTCTTTCTCCTGTTGTTATCTCAGACCTAGGAACAAAAATATAAATAAATCAAAAGCTTTATATGTTTAACTTTAGACTTGTAGATCAAGAAAAGAGGCAAATATATTTTAAATTTTTGTAGAACGAGGCAAATCTACTCCACTATGAGTCACTAGTGTGTTTTATTTAAACATTAGCTTTAAAATGTTGCAAAATGATCACATTATATGATTTAAGTTTCAATTTCATAGATCCAAAGACTAAACCGAAATCAAATCAAAAACCGGTTGGGACACATAAAGAGTGCTATAATTTGGTAAACAGAACACACGAGGTGAAAATCTGTCAAGGCTAATCAACGGTGGTGATCTAATCCTTAACGAGAAAAAAAAATCGAAAAGATAAAAAAAAAAAACAATTAACTACGTGGACTCAAAAATAGGATAGAAAAAAAAAATCTATCATCACTCTACACTGTTATCTTCAGAGGTTATCAGAGGAGAGGCATGAATGGCTTCTCTTCCTTTCAGCACTATCCCAATCAAACTTCCACACTCAGTATCAACAAAACCTCAAGATGATCATCAACTCCGTAATCCTTACTTTCACAGCGTTTCGTCTCTATGCAAGAACGGCGAGATCAAAGAAGCTCTAAGCTTAGTCACAGAGATGAACTTCAATAACATACGTATCGGTCCCGAGATATACGGCGAAATCCTCCAAGGATGCGTTTACGAGAGAGATTTCTACACAGGGCAACAAATCCACGCTCGTATCTTAAAGAACGGAGACTTCTACGCCAAAAACGAGTACATAGAGACGAAACTAGTGATCTTCTACGCGAAATGCGATGCTTTAGAGATCGCTGAGATCCTCTTCTCGAAGCTTAGGGTTCGTAACGTGTTCTCCTGGGCGGCGATTATAGGTGTGAAGTGTAGGGTTGGTCTCGTTGAAGAAGCTTTAATGGGGTTTATTGAGATGCTTAAAGACGAGATTTTTCCTGATAATTTCGTGGTTCCGAATGTTTGTAAAGCGTGTGGCGCGTTGCAGTGGAGTGGGTTTGGGAGAGGGGTTCATGGGTATGTTGCAAAATCTGGTCTTGACGGTTGTGTGTTTGTGGCGAGTAGCTTGGCGGATATGTATGGGAAGTGTGGGGTTTTGGATGATGCGAGGAAGGTGTTCGATGAAATTCCTGACAGAAATGTTGTTGCTTGGAATGCTTTGATGGTTGGTTATGTGCAAAATGGGATGAACGAGGAAGCGATTCGGGTTATGTGTGATATGAGGGAGGAAGGTGTTGAGCCGACTCGAGTTACTGTCTCGACTTGCTTGTCTGCTTCTGCTAATATGTTTGGGGTTGGAGAGGGGAAACAGTGTCATGCCGTTGCTGTTGTGAATGGTTTGGAGATGGATAATATACTTGGAACGTCGATATTGAATTTCTATTGTAAGGTTGGTTTGATTGAGTATGCTGAGATGGTGTTTGATCGAATGGTTGGAAAAGATGTGGTGACGTGGAATCTACTTATTTCCGGGTATGTTCAACAAGGGATGGTTGAAGATGCTATCCGCATGTGCAAGTTGATGAGACTAGAGAAGCTGAAATTTGATTGTGTCACTTTGTCGACTTTAATGTCGGCGGCTGCACGTACTCAGAACTCAAAACTTGGGAAAGAGGTGCAGTGTTATTGCATTAGACACAGTTTTGAATCTGATATCGTTTTAGCTAGTACTGTGATTGATATGTATGCCAAGTGTGACAGTATTGTTGATGCTAAGAAAGTGTTTGATTCCACAGTACAAAAGGATTTGATATTGTGGAATACATTACTTGCAGCATATGCAGAGTCTGGTCTTAGTGGAGAGGCTTTGAGATTGTTTTATGAGATGCAGCTAGAAAGTGTACCACCAAATGTGATCACATGGAATTTGATCATTCTAAGTCTTTTCAGAAATGGTCAGGTGGATGAGGCCAAGGAAATGTTCTTGCAGATGCAATCTTCAGGCATGATTCCGACTATAGTCACCTGGACCACTATGATGAATGGTTTGGTCCAAAATGGTTGCAGTGAGGAGGCAGTTCATTATCTGAGAAAGATGCAAGATTCTGGACTGAGACCAAATGTCTTTAGCATCACTGTCGCACTCTCTGCTTGCGCAAATCTAGCATCATTGCATTTCGGAAGATCAGTACACGGATATATCATAAGAAACCAGCAGCATTCCTCTTCGGTTCCGATCATGACTTCTTTGGTTGACATGTATGCTAAATGTGGAGATATAAGCAAAGCAGAGATGGTTTTCGGAAGAAAGTTATACAGCGAGTTGCCTCTCTACAATGCCATGATCTCGGCGTATGCATTATATGGTAACGTGAAAGAAGCAATCACTCTATACAGAAGCTTGGAAGATATGGACATCAAACCAGACAACATAACATTCACAAACGTCCTATCTGCTTGTAACCACGCCGGGGATATCAACCAAGCGGTCGAAATTTTCTCTGATATGGTTTCAAACCATGGCATGAAACCATGCTTGGAGCATTATGGACTAATGGTAGAACTTCTTGCATCAGCTGGAGAAACAGAAAGAGCCTTACGGTTAATGGAGGAAATGCCATACAAGCCAGATGCGAGAATGATCCAATCTTTGTTTGCTAGTTGCAGCAAGGAACATAAGACTGGAATTGTAGAGTACTTATCAAGGCAGTTGTTGGAATCAGAACCTGATAACTCCGGGAATTATGTGACGATATCGAATGCGTATGCAGTTGAAGGAAGTTGGGATGAAGTTGTGAAGATGAGAGAGATGATGAAAGCTAGAGGGTTGAAGAAAAAGCCTGGATGCAGTTGGATTCAGATTAAAGGAGAGGAAGAAGTGTTTGTTGCCAATGATAAGACACATCTTAGGAACAATGAGATACGGAGGATGGTAGCACTATTACTATATGATATGTGCTCCGATTCCAAATGATGTTCTGTGTATGAAAAATTCACTAATGTCGTCACAACTGTTGACATAATAGTTGAGAAGGAAAGAAAATTCACAAAACATGTTTATATGAATGTTGTAGTAACATCGTTGTCTGTCGTCTTATTTTTTTGTTGTCTATCATATACACAAAATGGAGAGTATTCTGTAAAGTCTGGTTATAAACTCCTCAAAAGCCAAATCTTCTCCATCGAGTAACACTCATAGTGCTCTTCCAGTTGCAGCAAGTATATATCTTGACAGAAAAAGAGTCTCAAATGTAGCATTTGTCAAATATGTGGAGGTGTTGAAGAGACACTATAATCCTTTCATCTGATTTTCTCGAGCAAAATGACACTTGTGGTGATTTGTCTTCTTTTCTGGATCTGTTTAAAGGCTTAGTCCAACAATTACCGTTGTTTTACATTGTAGGATGGCGATCGAGTTTGGAAGCACCGAAATGACTTGATATCCCCTATATATTAATTGAGGAACATTTGAAAAGATGTAACCTCAATTTTGTATTAATTAAAAGAGGCCCCAATGCATAGGTGTCATTCAATTAGGTAGTCAATTAGATTCAATTGAAAAATAAGTAAGTCCACATTGGATTTTTATAGGTTGATAGATACATTAGTTAGTCAAACTATATGATATAAAGATATGATATGCTATTTTCTTTCCATAAATAAAACCTACAGAATTACCATAAATGACTAATATATATATATGACACTTAATGATTGTTCCCTAAGATATAATTACTATTTTATTTTATTTCCATAAATA